TGTCTGGACCGATTGACATGACACCACTGATGACGGAAGTCGATTCCAGGCTGAGACTACCCTATTTGAGAGGAAGCGGTACCTGATTTAAGAGTAAATTCTACTTTGGCCAGAAGTTGTGAAATTATATAAACTTGGGCTTGAGTGTTGAAATTATTCTAAAAATAGGACTATACTGTCATATGTAAGCTGTGTATACTGACGCATGTGTACTTGAGTTCTCTAACCAACGAGGGGAGGAGATATTCTTACTTGTTTTGCTCCCTTTCAGTATACCCCCAAGGAGACAACGTTCTGGATACGGGGTTGAAGTGAAGTNGTTCGAGGCTTGCGCCCAATATTCCCGGTTCCGGATTTGTCTTCTTTTCTGCAGTTCGGTTCACGAGCTGAAAGGGATGTTGACGGAAATGGGAGCTGGCTCCAATATGGTGCAGCTGGGTTGAGGGTGCATGCATCGGAAAAACAATCTAGAGAGCGAGGATGTGAGAGGAGTAGTAACAGGGATAAGCGGGATAACGTGGGGGTTTCCATCGGAAGATGGAAGCCAATTAGATCAGGGGATGGTAAGCCCTAGGTGTGAGTCTAGCAGGGTTTTGAAGACCCTTTTGGAGGAGGAGTTCATAATCTCAAGTGGAAGTTTGTTCCATTCTGAGATGACCCTGTACGTGAAAAAGTTGGAGCGGATGAAGGTTCTGGGGCGGTGTTTGAAGAGTTTTCTTGGGTGTCCCCTTGAGTGTTCCAGGCTAGAGANAAAGATTCCCTATGATACGTCGTATATCTAGAGGGTATAGATTTAGCTGTTGTAGTCGGGTAGGATAAGGGATATCTGACAAGCCATGTACTAGTTTCGTGGCCCTTCGCTGCACACGCTGCACACACCGAAACTTGTACGTGACCAAAAGGCTCTAGAACAAGTACAGAGACGCTTCACTAGGCTTTTTCCTGCCTTGAGGACGATGCCGTACACGAGGCGCCCGAGAGAGCTAAACTTGTTCTCCCTTTCTCACAGGCGAATGAGAAGCGACCTAATAGAGGTTTTCAAGATACTGAAAGGACTCTCACAGCCTAGCAGGCAACTGCTCTCCCTCAGTGAAAACCCAGTCCTGAGGACACCAGCTGAAGCTGGCCAAACCTCGGGCGTTAAAGAGAGGAAGAGCGAACTACTTCTCTCCTAGAGTCGTCAACGCCTGGAACAGACTTCATGATGAGGTTGTCTCAGTATCCACGTTGGAACTCTTCAAAAAAAGGCTTGATGTGGTGTGGGACGAAGTCTTCTCCGAATCAGCCTAAGGAAAAAAGATCGACCATCCTGGGTGGTAATTATATCTCCAACTTTCCCTAGAACAGGTCCCCTCCTATATTCTTTTTTACTAACTGTACCATCCCTTGTACTTCGACTACTTTCTCCTCACCTGTCTTAATTCAGCCCTCGCACCCGCCTCCCCGTACTAGCATACTCTTCTTTTCTCATCTTAACCTATTTTCGCATGCCTGAGGGTTCTATACTGTTTGCTGGACGGGTACTCGGACCTCCTGGTTAGCCTGTGACTGGTCGGTTGGTGCTGCTTTCATCGACAGCAANCAAACCGGATTGGGGTCCCTGCTTCGCGGCAGTTCCATTACACCACCAAGGACCGATCAACCCACTGTCGTAGCGTTACGAGACACTCGTGGCCCGTAAACGCAAGAACCTGAACTACCTTACTGGCTCAAGCCGCAAGTCCTGTGAACTGTCCTGTCCTGTCCTGTCCTAGTGAGTCGCGGTCGCGAATGAGGAATGAGAGGATCACAAATACCCAATCAACTGTACGCAGTGTTGGAGGCTACTCCCATTCGCCGACAACACAGCGAACTGGACGCTCGATTGGTGAGAGCCATATTCATCCTGTGCAAACTGAACTGAACTGAACTGATTCACCGTCGGCTTCTTGACGGCTTCAGAGTGTACGGATGCCCACGGAGTGTTGGGAGCCAAGAGCACCCGCCTAAAACACAATATTCTGGATGCTTGATTGACAAAGGCCATTATTTGTCCTGTGAAGACTGGACTGGACTGGACTATGGGGGTAGAGGAAGCTTTTGGAATGACGATAAACGTCATTTCCAGGGAGAAAGGTGGGATAGCTTGGGAAGTAAACGAAGCCACGACCACGTTTGTAACTCCCCAAAAAACGGGGTAACGCCTCGGGCATTACG